CAAAGTAGATATTAGGAGTTGATTAATTGAATATTTTGGCTCCTATAATATTGAAGCCATTGTTTTCTTGTTTTCTTTGTTAGTCAAAGATGGCTGACATCTTCCTTATAATGCAGATTTGACTATTTTTACGGCATACATATTTTTATTTTATTTTCGAAGGTATCAAGCTTTAGTTCATTAAAAAGCGGAGCTAATGGATGTTCTTTGTTTTGTAACAAAATAACACTGATTTTGTATTATATCAAGTCTCTTTGGCTGTGCTTTAGATTTACAAGGCATAATCAAATTGGCTCAGTTAGCCCTTTATCAGCTGATATATACTTATGCTAATATTCCCATACCAAAGTGAGATTTTTAAATGGTTGCATCAATTTGTTTTTTGAATTGGAGATCCTGATAGGGTATTGTCATCTGCAAATAAAGTTTCAGTTGTTGAAGGTTATGGAAGTTCTCTAATGTAGATTTTTAAAAGTTCTGCACTGAGGCTACCACCTCGAGATACCCCTCTTGATATTGGCTTCCATTAAGGGAAAACTTGTTTCCGTTTTTTACCTTCTCTTTTCATTTCTTATTACAGGTTTGATTTAGCTCTTGAAATACAACTATTTAGTTTGTTTTATAACTGCCCTAAATTTTCCCAAGTTTTATTAATTTCATCAAATTTCCTAATTATTTTTTAGCACTTTGGCATTTTGGCACTGCGTTATATTTATATTACTTTGAAAATCAGTGGATAATGTGCAAAAACTTCAACTGTAAACAATTATGAAAGCAGCAGACCTTTTAACACTATGTTAACACAATTAGCATTTTTTTTTAGACAGAAAAAAAAGTGAATGTATATATATATATATATATATATATATATATATATATATATATATATATATATATATATATATATATATATATATATATATATTTTATATATAACTTTATGCTCATTATTTTGTGTTTCTTTACAAAATAAATTATTGAGAAAAAAGAAAACAAAATGGTAGTTGTAAATATGCATTTTTTATAAATTTGTCATAATTGTTTTTAAAAATGTTTGTTGTTTTTGAGTTTTGACAGTATACTGGTAGTTGATTCCATTGTTTAACTATGTGAAGAAGTTGTACCGGATATCAAAATTGTTTTGTTCTCTGGTTAGAAAGTTTTGTTGTATTGTGAAAATCATGTTTTTCTTGGGTTAAACTTGAATAAAAGTTTATTTTATTCAGTCCATTTTTAATTTTTAATTGTTGTATTTGGTTCCCTCTTAATCGTCTTTCTTCCAGTGTTGTCAGACCAAGGCAGCGGATCCTTTCCTCGTATGCTTTACCACTAACTTCTCAAACTAGTTTAATTGCCCTTCTTTTGACTGATTCAATTGTTTTGATATTTTTGAATGTATTTGGATTTATATTGAAGCACTGTACTCCAGATGCAGCCTTAACATTGACGTAAAGAGCATCTTAAAAGTGGTAATGTTTATGTATTTGAATAATTTTTAAGCTGACCCAATATACGATTAGACTACGTTGTTATTACGGAGTGAATTTGTCGGTCCCACTTTAAGTCAGAGCTGATGATCACTCCTAAGTTTTTCTCAAATTCTACTTTTAATAATTGATGCCCATTTACCTGATAATTAAACTTTTGATTTAATTTCTTAATGTGAATTACTTTACGTTTGCTCTCATTCAACAAGGTGGCCAGCTAAAAGTAAATTTAAAATTCCAGGATATTTCCAGGAAATTTTGTGTTATTCAAGGATATATTGATTTTTTCTTGACAATAAAATGGACCAGTAAATGCAAAATTAGAAACGAAACAACTAAATATTTATATTTGAATACACATATAAATCATATATACATACATATATTTATGTAAAGTTGTTTAATTTAGTACTATTTATGTTTGTTCTTTTCTAAAATTGTCTTTCTAAAAAAATTTGCTTTTGCAAGGACAGTGAAGTCTATCTTTGCTTCTACTTCAATGCTTAACTTGTCAACATCAGATTTGAGAATTTCAATGCACTTTCTAACACTTTTTTCCTGTTTTTTAATAACTAAAATATCTCCAGCAACCAATTGACATTTCATGACTACCTTTAACTGATCCTTGTTTTCTTTCAATTAAAATTGTGCGCTACAACTTTTTAAAAGATCGCTAGGGAGCTTATAATGATGAATGAGAACTAATGTGATCTTAAAATATTTTTTTGAGAAATAAGAGATCTCTTTTGCAGATTTTCAACCAATAAATGTTTGTTGACACTGAATCTTTGTTCTATCACAGATTGGTCATGAGATAACACCAAAATGAAAGCACAGACTTTCCACAATGTTAAATACTTCAGAGTTTTGTTTAAATAGACAGCAAGAAATTTATCAACAGAATCAGTTAACTTGTTAAAAGACTCAAACTTTTCATTAAATTGAACACCTTCTGTACTAACACACTCATCATATAGTTGTTTTGCATCATCTGCATCATTGGTTGAAAGCCATTTTAATGCAGTCAATCTCTTAGCTAGAGTCTTGAATTTAACATATTTCCTTGTTTTGAACCATTTCATTTGCAAATAAAGATGAAGCATTCATCACTAAAAAATATTTCAATGGGCATCTTTCTTGTAATTTTTGCAATAACACTATGATAATCTGCTTACATTCCATTATAAATTCTAATTTCTCTTCTAGTTTACAATGAAGAGAACTTAGCATCTGTTTTAATGCTGTTCCGAATTCAATTTTGTTTACATCTAGTTGGTTGTTTGATTTACCTACTTCAATCTTTATTAAACTATATGCAGTTGCAGCTTCATTTAAAATGTTTGGTTTGAGAATCATTTTCATCAAACTTTGCAACATGCTTTCTAAACTGTTAAATAAAAATGCAACCATAGGTCTGTCTGTTTAAACTAGAACTAGAAATCCTTTCAATTTTTTAGCAAGATCTTTAAAAAACTGCTTTTGCAAAGGTACAAAATTGTGAAGATGATGATCTGCCAGAACTTCATAGCTTTTATTTTTTAGAATGTCTGCTTTTGCATAGTGATTCCCAATATTTTATAATTTTAACCATGTTTGGCCATAAAATAATGCCTCTAGAAGCCACACCTTCATTATCTACCCAGCAAGTTGCGCAGAAGATGCGAAACAATAAAATTCAAAAATATAAATGCTGAAATGCTCTTAACTTAAATAAAAATATATAGGATGCAAAGCAAGCAGATCAGTTTTGCAAACTCTAATATATTTATCTATTTTAGCTAGTGTCTCTTTAAAACAGATATTAAATTGCACAAAATATTTCATTTAATTCCCACTGTTTGCTCATATTAACTATATCAGAATATCTTTTTTCCTGTCTATGTTCATCTAACATTTTTAGAACCGCCCAAATAACATTAGGACCATCCATTAATACTTAAATTAGTTTTCCAAGATCAAACATCTCTGTTGCTTCAATGAGTTTGTCAAATAAATTCTGTGAATAAAGACGTCTGAAGAATTTAGAATCGATATATCTAGCTTTTACAACACCAGAATTTGAATCCCAGTATCTAACTCCACAGTCCATTTGTTCATTTTTAAATATTACATTCATACTCTCATCATATGACAAAACAAAGATGAATGATGCTCTGACTTCAGATATAAGTTGCTCTTGATAATATGGAGCTTAACCAAAATTTATGAGGTAGCCACATTTTGTTTTGCTAAATGCAAACTTTGATGGTATTGTACTATCAGAGAACATAGATTTTAATATTTCATTTAAATTTAAGCATGATCTTAAAGAAAAATGTGACATTACAATATTTAACCAGAGCTGGAGATTGAAGATCCTCTATAGTAGGTTGTGCCAGTTTGTCATTTAAAACATTGTTTGAATTAAGAAAATGATCTTGTAAGTTAACAAAAGCTGCTTTATTGCCAGATATTTCTGTAGTAAAATCTAGGAATGAAATGTGTAAAATAAAATTAATATCCGGTAAAGTGCACAGCTAATCAATTTACTCCAAGCATTCCAAAATTTAAAAACATTTTAAAAAATAAAAAGTAAAAAACCAAATCATATGACTAAAAAACTAGCTGTAAAGAATTGTTGCATTATGTGTCGTTGCATGCTCCTTATGCTTCTTGCATGAGAATCCAAAGCAGATACTCCCATGTTAGAAATATTAATGTCTGTTTAATACCAATTACATCATGCTTTCTTTGATTTTGAAGAACAAAATTTTGCCCAAGAAGAATACTTTTTATTGTACAGCCATTCTGTTTGGAAATGACAGTTCTTTGACTTGGGCATTAAGTTAGTTATATTATATATTAGTTGTTATATATATATATATATATATATATATATATATATATATATATATATATATATATATATATATATATATATATATATATATATATATATATATATATATATATATATATATATATATATATATATATATATATATATATATATATATATATATATATATATATATTATTTGTATATTTTATTTTCTAAATAATTAGTAGAAATAATAATACAGATAGTAAAATTAATTAAAATATTTTCATCATTCCAGAAAATATATAATCAAACTGTAAATTTTTTTAAAGATAAAACAAGAAAATGAACTCTATAAAAAAAAAGTTTCAGGATTTCCAGGATTTTTTGTAAAAAGGGGTGTTTTGTAAAAAGGGGTGTTTTTCCAGGACCTATAAAATTCCAGGACTTTTCCAGGATTTCAAGGACCACTAGCTACCCTGTTCAAAGACATTTGCCATGTTTTGCACCATTTTGATTTTAACATAATAATAAATTTATTATTATAAAATTTATTATTATAGAAAAAAAAACACATTATTATTATAATAAAATTTATTTATTATAAAAAGCCCCTATTTTATAAAATAGGGGCAGATCGTTTTAGCTCTTGCAACTAAAGTAATATATGTAAATACAATAAAATTATCAGCTTTAAGAGTAAAAAAAATTACCTTTTTTTAGTCTATATAATTTTAGACAAGAATCTTTTTGAAGTACTAATATCTTCTCGCAAACCATTTTTTCACGATGGCAAAAAAAATTGTTTCGCTTTAATAACAAAAACAATTTTTTTTTAAAACTTAAATTTCGTACTTGCAGTTAAATGCGTATTTCACGCTATATCTGAAAACCGCTTAAACCAATGTTTTTTAATTCATGTTTTATTTTAATTAATTTTTTTCATTATTTTTTGCTCTTGATTCGGCACTGGAACACGATCGCCAAGCCAAAAACCGCTTAAATATTTGAAATCGAAAACTTTTGTAATAAAAGACAAGATCGTATCGACTTTTTCGAGATTCTGCATTCTTTTTTTTTTTAATTTTATAACAGTATCTTTATTTTTAAACATCATATAGTTACAATTCTACATAATACAATTTCAACTTTTGAAAAAAAAAAAGCGCTTTTCCCTGCTATTATTATGTTTACATTATAAGTTTATTTTAAAGCTACAACAATAGCAATAATACATGGCCGTTGATAACTTTTACTGGAGGCCTATGAAGAGAAAGGGTGCGAGCAACTTTTCTCTTAATAATAAAGCTTTTCAACATTTTGTTGTAATGTCTACATCTTATAGCATGTTTTTAAGAGTTGCATAAATTTAACCTTAAGTGTCAAATAAACTGTATTCGTAGCTGTATTGCTCATATTCTAGTCATTTGCAAAAGTATCGGACCACCACTCAGAAAACGTCGTTTATCAGAAAAAAATAACATAATTAACATAATTATTTAACATAATCATTTTTTATTGCTAAATCTTGTATTTTACTGTAATTACAAGTCTTGACGAAGAAATTTCATTATTTTATATGCGCTCGTTAATGTAGTATTTTATGTGACTGCTTCTAGTCGGTGAGGCATACAAGCCTCGCCGACTAGAAGCAGTCATTAGAAAATAACACTTTCCCTGGAATTCTACGCTGAAGCGAAGCGAAACTGTGCTGATACATACATTAATTAGTTTTTGCAGGAACTTGTTGAAGATCGCCCAATGATGCGTTTCATAATGTGGAAATAAAACTGTAGCAATCTCAATCACGTCTGAAGCAATAATTAACTGGAGAATGAACAGCACTCTTCTTCATTACCTGTAACTTTATGGGCTCCTCAAGTTTCTATCCTTAGCCCTATACTTTTTTTAATTTACATTACCGAGCTTCTAAAAATTCTTATATCTAAGGTGGCATTGTTCGCTGATGATACTCTCTGATTTCTTGGATGGAGCGTTTGAGCTTGAAAAGGATCTTACTTCTGCTACAGCATGCGGCTCTCATAGGTTGGTGAAATTTAACTCAGATAAAACTCAATGTTTTTTAGCTAATCATTATTGCAACAATCTAGACATATTTATTAACGGTAATGTACTCAATCAGTCACCTAACCTTCATCTTCTAGGATTATCTCTTACTTCTGATCTTTCTTTAAAACGATATATCAAATCCATTGCAAAATATTACTTGCTAAGGTGGTATCTTTTTATTTTGCTCACTTTTTTTTTAATTATATAAATAATATATATATTATATATAATTATATATATTATATATAATTATATATATATATATATATATATATATATATATATATATATATATATATATATATATATATATATATATATATATAAATTTTTTTTTTTTTTTTTTTTTTTTAATTTTGATTTAGGTGCTCCAAGAAGTCCTTACGGTCTTATCACAGAACATATATATATATATATATATATATTTTTTTTGGGGGGAGCAATGGGGCCGATCGACCCCCTAAGAAAGCTTTGGAAAATTTTTTTTTGTAAGTTTATATATTAAACACAGCAAGTTGTTTGAAAACGGAAATAATATAGTTAGGCTGTCTAAATAAAATTATAATTTTAATAAATTTATGTGGTGCAAATTCAAAATAGTGTGATTGCTTGCTCACAAATCATTAAATTTGAAAATTGCCGCCCACTTACTAGATCGTCTGCATCCCCCAAATCGAAAAAAAATGAAAATCGGCCCCCTTACATCATGGTCTGGATCAGTATCTTGAGGGGAGGGGGCGTTAAGGTGTCTAGCCCCTTACTAAATTTACTAGTTGGCATATCGGACACTAGAGTCAGAAAAATTAGATCTATAGTTGCCAGTCACGGGGACCTTTTTTTTTTTTAGAGTATCTTAAGCGGCAAAAAACAGATACGTCACCCCCCCCCCACCCCTTTAAAATCTCCTTAGTACGGCCCTGAGTAAGCACTAACTTTTTTTCACACTTCTACTGATTTAAAGTAACAATCTTAAGATAAATAAGCGATTGACCATAAATTACTCAACGCTAAATTTATTTAAAAAACAGATTTAGGAGATCTTAAGCTGCTCTTTTACGCGGCGGTTTTCATTAAACGCAATTGCATGGGCTATTTTGATTTTTCATTTAACTTTCACAAGCTTTCATTAAATTTTTATAAGCGAGGGAAAACTTTTGATCTTTTTTGTTTTGTTTATTAGTGAAGTTTAACGTTGCATAATTTATGGACGATCCTTAATACAGATTGATTCTGTTATGTATTGAAAAAGTAAACAAACTTACTAAAAACATCATTAATACTATTAATAGACAACTAGCTTATAATTAAAAAAAGTTAAAATTTATCTGCGCACATTTGTAACCATACAAAAAATATAGCGTAACCATGCTTACGTAGTTAAAGAAATTAAAATTAAACTGTTCAACTACATAAGTAGAATAGTCAAATATTTTATTATTACTCAAGTCGATTATAAGTGTTAACAAAGTAGAAAAAATAATTACATCAAAATTATTCGGGCGACAGGAAGAGTGTAGAAAAATAAAAGTAAATTGATGTTGAGAAAACGACAAAAAAGTATACTACGCATCAACAGAAATTGATATTTCTATTTTTAAAACAAAAAAACTTTCAATTGGTCTAATATTTAAATAAATGATAAATTTCAGTATTTTGAATGTAGAAATGGAATTCTACTCAAAAATTTTATTTTTGTGACAGCGCGTTTTGCAGATAAGCTTCTCATATATAGTAAATACAATATACATTTTATATATTCATAAAAGTAAAAGACTTTATCTACTTTTTTACTGAGAACTAAATACGCCCCTGGATAAAGTGTATATACTTTAACCAATTTTTATTATAAGTGCATTTACTTTATCCACTAATTGATTGTTGCAGAAGATTTCATTGATGGAGATAACAAGTTGTTTGGTAGTATTATTGGTTCGACAGAAGATCCAGGGCCGTTCCGAAAAGATGGGACGTCAAAAGGAGGAGGGGGGGGGGAGAAACGTATCTGTTTTTTGTCGAGTTAAGCCTAGAAAAATTTTGACTAAGAAATCTGAAAAAAAAAGGTCGGCAAATGTCAGCTTCGTTGACTTACAGTTGCCGACCGCCAACTAAAGATCTAACTTTGCCAACTGCAGCGTCCAATAAGCCAACTAATAAATTTCCTAGGCTTAAAAATAATCAATTTTACAGTGTTTGTCTACGGCTCCCTACTATCCTTACTTGATATTGTTGATGCGGTAATGTTTCAATAATTTGGTCTGTGTTTTGCCATTTTTTCAGGCAGGTTGCCATACTAATTTTGATTTGCTAGGTATGAACCTACGGTTAGTGGGCTGAATTTTTTAAACTTTAACTAACTATGATAATGTTTTTGCTTTTTCACGCATATCGGCTAATTCAAATCATTCCCTTATAAACTTTATTGGATTTGGTTAGTGCTCATTTATAGTTTTCCCAAACAATAGTTCGGCTGGCGATGCAATACCTTGAGGTGGTTTATTAATGTGTTGCTACGCAGTAACAGTGCTGTTCGTACTCCGTTAGTATTTAACAATCCACTTAGGCTATATATGTTGTCAATAAACGTTTCACCAATTTTACAGTAAAGTCTCGTCTGTCGTTGTTCTGTGGGTAATATACAGATGATAAGCAATACTTTACGCCCCAATTATTTAAAAAGGATTTCATCTTGTAAGAGCTAAACTCTCCTCTATCTCCTGGTATCTCTTTTGGAACTCCAAAAATAATAAAATATTTCCTATGTGCGTTACAAATAGCAGATGATTTTGAGTTTGTTTTGCTTGATGCTTCTTCAGTCCAACCTGAGAATCGGTCGGTTTACTATATACTTGTGACATGCCATTTGAAGTTATTTCAAATGGCAAGTCACAACTATATAGTAAATGTTTTTTAATATTTTTTGAAAAGGATATTCAGGAAATATTGGAATCACTGATAATGTCTTATTATTACTAAAAAACTGTTTGACCGATTGAAATCAGTTTATTCATATAGAATCATCCTTATCATCAAGCCTATTAGATATAGCTTGCTGAGTGCCACAAGAATCAATACTAGGCCCTTTGAGTTTTCTAATATATATCAATGATCTCTACAAAATCACAAACTTAATGACAGTTATATTTGCCGATGACACTAACCTTTTTTAAGTAACAATAACCATACAAAACTATTTAACAACATGAACGCTAAACTTATAAAAAAAATTTAACTGCAGTTAAATTTTTTTATAAGTTTATAAATTTTTGTTTGATTTGAAGCATGGTTCAAATCAAACAAACTATTAATTAACATCGAAAATTAATAATTATCATCGAAAAAACAAAATAGATGCTTTTCTACCGAGCTTCAAAAAAAAAACTAATTCCAAATATTACGCTATTTATTTTTAATAATTATATTGAAATAAAACAAACATGTATTACAAAATTTGAAGGCACTTATTTTGATGAAAATCTCACATGAAAAAATCACGTTAATAATTTTAATAATAAAATTGCTAGAACTGTTGGAATAATACACAAATCTCGAAGTTTTTTAAATAGACATAGTTTAATTCATTTATATTACTCATTCGTTTAGAGTATATAAACTATGCTAATATTGCATGAGGTAGTGTCAATAAAAGACGTGCAATATGCTTCAGAAGCATATTGCACGTCTTGTAAACTTTAAAGATTGTTTTACTCATGCCAGACCTCTCTTACTTGAAATGAATATTTTAAATATATATCAGCTTAACGTTTATAATGTTCTACGTTTTTTGTATAAATGTAAAACCAATGATTCCCCATCTTATTGTAACTTATACTCATTGAAAGAAAAAAAAAGCACCATTTAAGAAATGAAACTTTTATATGACTTCAATTTTCGCATACAAATTTTAGTAAATCTTTTATTTCATTTCGAGGAGCCTTTTTATGGAATAAAATAATTTTGAAGTATTTTGACTTTACACAAGAATGGAATTATAACTCATTTAAGAGAAAACCTAAGAAAACCATTTTGTCTATTGAAAACATACTTTTATACTTTATTACCCGCTCCCGAGTTTTTATATATATCTCTATGTTCTATATTTTTTCGTTGTACACTTTTTACTTTTTAAAAAAAAAGCTCGTATCATGCTAAACATAGATGAATACACGTATACATACACGCATATACATAATATCTATATGTGCATATGTATGTTTTTATTCATATATATCGATGTGTACGTGTATATAAAGCCATCCGCTATACTCCTCCATCAATGATTTTTTTGTTCATTTAGTTAGCATATTTGACCGTTTTAGACAAGTCAGTTGGCAAATGTTGACTAGATAATCAGCAAATTTTGAAAACCGAAAACTTTTATTTTTCTTGCATTTTTTTAGTCGAGAAAATTGTAATGTCACCCCCCCCCCCCCTACGTAATACCTTATCGCGCCGGCCCTGCATGTATATGTATGTATATGTGTTTTTGTGTACATAAAAAAGGAATTTCTTTCCTTGCATTTATGTATGTGTAGATATGTGTGTGTGCGTTTGTATGTATTTAAAACTTTTAACTAACCTGTTTTGCTGTCTTCATAACCAACCTGTTTGCACATTTTACAAAATTGGAAAACAAAGGACAGACAAAATCAAACTTTATGATGCAGAAAGAAGTATTTATCAATTGAGGAATACAAAATTAAAATAACAATACTAAACTAAAAATGGTTGAAAGAAATATTGTATAGACTTTTAACAAATCGCTTAGTTTAGCCCGAACAGATAATTTTAAAGAACTGGAAAAAAAAAATTGCAAAAATTACAATAACGCTATTCATAGAGCCTATTCATTTCCACAATAATACAATATCAAAAAGATTTAACCACAAGGTAGAACAACTAAATATCAAAATACTTAATATACAAGATAAAAATAAAACTTAAAAAATGAAGTGTAAAAAACTGTAAAAAACGATAGAATTTATTTCTGAATAATATGAAAATCAAACATTCTATAAGTCTATTAATTAAAAAGTATAAAAATAAAAAAAATAAAATCATTTATTTAAAAACTATGGACATGATATATAGACTAGAAGTTACTTCTTATAACTTACTAAAAAAAACTCAATTATTAGATTATTACGAGCACTTTAAACCTCAGACCTTTTGGTTCTGAGCCAGAACTCTAACCACGACGCAACAAAATTATAATAAATAAAAAGTCTTGTTTCCATTTAACCAGCAGAAAAATAATATACTAAGCAGCTACCATTACTAAAAATTGATGACATAAATATAAAAAAAACTATAACAATTAAATTTCTTGGAACAATTAAATAACTGTAACAATTAAATAACTATTGGAAATAACTATTTACAATTCTTTTTCTACTACATACAATAAATAAAAAATATCAAAATGTATCGGCATACTTTAGTATGTAAAGTTAAGCTAAAAGAGAATCTAAATACTCTCTACATTTTGTATATTCAAAAATTATCTTAATTTAATCTTATAAATTAAATTAAGATAAGAAGTTGGGCATTTCCAAAAAATCAGGCAGCGGTAATCGTATATGTTTTGTCTATTGTATTCTTAATAATTAAACTAGCGATCTCCAATTTACTTTTATTTAGTTCTAATAAATATTTATATAAATAAATATTTATATAAATAAATATTTATTTATTAGAACTAAATGAGAGTAAACTTGTATTTATTTTGGCTTGGATTAATTGCCGGCACATAATATTATAAATCATGAATTCTAAAATTATTTCAACCACTGACAAGCGCGCATACGCATGACAGTATTTTAATTTTTCTTTAGATATTGTAAATATATCTATTGTAATAACTTTTATGTGTGATTTTGTGCGTATATGAAAATTGGTAACATGTAAATATCGTTTTATTAAAACATATAATAATGTTTTCCGAAAAAAAAAACATATATAAAAACTTGTATGTATGGAGTGTGGTTATCGTTTTTTTTTAGGGTGGTTCTCTGTGGTATAAGCTTTATAGCCACACATGGACCGCATCAACACCATCCTATAAAGGAGTGTGGTATAAAACTTACATATGCTTCCCATATGTGTCCCACGTAAAACATACACCTACGAACGAGTTAGTTTTACGTGATCTACACGGTTAACTACTTAACACGGATTTCTATATATTGGATTTCAAGTATCTTTTTTTTGAAAGTTTTAAGGCAAATAATAGTAATTTTTACAAATAATTATAATTCATCATAACTTTTGTAACAAAAATCTTAAGTTTACATTTGAAATTATTTATAACAAAACGTAAATTATTTTTTTGGTTGATTAATAACTTTCATAGTTTCATAGTACTCTCTTTCATTGTATTTTAGTTTTTTATTTTAGTTTGTATTATACTTTTTGTTTATTTCATGAAAATATTATTTAGTAAAGTATTTAAAAAATTTGATTTTTAATACGGGATTTAATATATTTATGATAAAACTCAATTTATAGTATTGCGATTTTACTACAGCATGTCGCTATCTAGATATCGCAGTTTTGTATATATATATATATATATATATATATATATATATATATATATATATATATATATATATATATATATATATATATATATATATATATATATATATATATATATATATATATATATATATATATATATATATATATATATATATATATATATATATATATATATATATACATAAATATATATATATATTTTGTAGCTATCGATATTATTACGATATATCGTTAGCTGCAAATTTTATTATTACA